TTAGATGAGGGTGTTTTCTCACTGGCTCCACTTCCTCTATCCTTCCCCCAGACACCGCACACATACTCCCTTCTTTGGACAACTCTCAAGAGAAAGTACAGACAGTCTGGAGAACAAATCTTCCTTCATGCAGATTACATTCTCCTATAAACACCTCAACGACTAGTATATAACCTCCAGCAAGAACGCTGCCTAATCTCTGGCAACAAAATAAACATATCGAAGCCAGAAGCTCTGATAAGGGGATTCTCAAGAATCTGGAATCTTGCGTGCTGTAAATGGAAGAATGAATGTTGCCAATGTTATTGAAAAACGGTGTACCTGAAGAAAGAGACTTTCTTTAATAATACCGAATTTGCTGTTCTTTCCTGCCTCAATCACAGCTGCAAAGAAAAGCGCAAAGGAAATCTGTGCAGATTCCTATATACCCTTGAACTTTTCTGAAAAGCCACTCCTAGCTTTGTTCCTGTTCATGGGACCGTGAAATCTCTGAGGTATTAGCTTTTAGAAATATTGAGATACCACAACGTGTAGGGACTTAGCAAGAAGAGGAGCCAGGGAAGCTGCTCTCTAAAACTTCCTCAAATATTTTTAAGAACAGTACCTACATAGGATGAATCTCACTAAAGAATGAATGATTTATGACCACACCTTAAAAAGAGATGTTTAGCTTGAAGGATGCACTCAGTGTTTTCTGAAGTGCTGCTTGATACTGATACCTTCCTTTGTGTCATTGCCATTAACATGTGTTGTAAGCTCTGGAATATTTCTCCCCTCTTATTTTTGCTCTGAGTCATTAGTGTGTCTATGGCTTTGTTAACAGAAAGGATTTTTGTGCATGTTTTCTGAAATAAAACACTAGCTTATCAGCAAGCCTAGTACTGAATAGCAAACATGGGAAGGATTCTTTGCAAAACCACTTAAGAGGATGCACAGATAAAGAGACCGTCGTGTTTTTTTCAATTAAAGTTTGTTAGCCTGCAGTGCGATAGGGACTCCTTATTAAGAAACCACCAGTAGAGCCCCTGCCCCACTATCTTAAGTATCCATGGCTGAAAACACCATTCCTCTTGGCCCTGTATTTTCTGCTACCCTTACCCCTTCCCAGTAAATCCCTGTAACAAGTTTGGGGTGGATCTCCAGACCCTTCTTTATTTCTCTTTCACAGTGGTGCATGAAGGAGATTGTCTTCCAACTGTCCCTGGAGCCATCCAGGCTTCTTTTCTGGGGGGGCGAAGGAGTAGGAAACAAGGAAGGAAATTCATTGCGACATTTTGTATCCTGAATCATATCATGGATCTGTTATGAACGAGTAAAATGCATTTTAAATGAATAGTATGTGAATATCTATGGAATTTTAATAGATCAGTTGCTCACTATTTTGCTCTCTCCTCCTCTCAGAAGAGCAGTCTTGTAGTCTTGTTCAGTAACGCCTCCTGGAATGCCTTTGATGCCTTTGTTTGATGCATTTTAAACTCAGTTACAGAGGACCACTTTTCATGAAAACATGACCTGAAAGGACCCTGTGGCTCACAGGAACTATGTCATTGCCTATAGTCTATTGTATGGGATATCAGGGCAATCGTATGCCTCTGTGGCTTCTTTACAGATAGAAAAAGTCCTCACCACTCTCTGTGTAAAGAACTTGCCCCTGACATCCAATCTAAACTTTCCCTTCTTGAGCTTAAAACCATTCCCCCTTGTCCTATGACTGTCTACAAAATACAAAGGAAATTACTTGTATATAAATTATTTGAACAGGCAAGTTTCATACTTCTAATAAAGCATAAGTCAGCCAGAAAGAGCTAATTTAGTTTTTCGTAAAAGAAACAGTCTGAGTTATTCTCCTATATATTTAACACTGTTTTCTGCTTTAAGTGGAGAGATCAGAGTTGTCCAAAGCAGTTAATATTATGGCAACTTTTCCCTACAGCAAACAAGTGAAGAGTATTTCTGAGGACGTGTATTTGGCTGACAGAAAGCATACTGGAATTGCTAACACGCAAAGCTGTTCACCAGCAAGGCACTTATTCTTCCACATCAGAGACCTGCAGTCACAGAAATGGCCTTCTGATGGCTTTTGATTCTCTCTTTAGAACGTCTCGTCCTTTAAGCAGAGAATCCTGCTTTGGCATAATTAAGGGCAGGGGCCCTTTGTCCCATTGCTGTCTCATTTGCAAATGTCATCTGTTCTTGTCTAGCCCTAAGAACCACAAGCAAAGCAATGTACAGAAATTAAAATTTCTGTCTCTCTTGTAATATCTAGAGAAAATGCTACTGCTTGGTTTTAACCATTCGGTCCAAGATTTAGAGTCCTCTGAAGTCACTGAAAGCCTGAGATTGCCAAAACCTCCTGCCAGCTTCAGCATGTCTTGGAGCAGGCCTGTAAGGGGCACAGAACTTCTGGGAAATAGCTCTCCTTATCTGAAAGAAAGCTGGTGAAACAAGAAAGCAACACGCAACCAGCTGTCTGTATCTTCCTGCACAACTGCTGCGCTGTGGCTCTAGAGGCCTTCACCAATTAACAGGAACAGGGAAGATGAGGTTAGGTCTTTGCTTTTTATCTCGCATGGCTCAGCTCAATAGTAATTAGCTTCTGCCTCTGCTTCTGTGGGCCTCCTGCGCGCCACAGCTGCAGCAGCCAAACCTTACTCCACAGAAAAATTAGACAATTATCTCTGGGAATTTATTTCCCAGCAAGAGTATTCACATCTCACTTCTCCCCAGTACTTCATCACCAAGATGCGCAGCTGTTGAAGGACTATCCAGATCTCAGTCCAATCTACTGTCATGTTCAATAGCTCATCACTGCAAAAGTTTCATAAATGTACATTTTCCAGATATATCTTCAGTCCTTGTTTTCTCTGGTAATCCCTGCCTGGAATCACAAATTAAAAAATACCCTATAAAAATCCCCTTACTGAGTTCAGAATAATTAGCAAAAAGACATTTCTTGTTAGAGGAAATGCCCTTCCAGTGCAGCTGTCTCAGAAGGCAAGCAATGCCTGAGCAGTGGGCACTGCAGGAATGAGAAATGTTACCCCTGATTCATACCGTCCTGCTCGGAGCATCGTGAACTTGCTATCTGTGATGGGCGCTGTTAGTGCAAAGCATGCCTTTTTTGAGGAAGTGAACAAACACTGATGAAATGAAAACCTGATGATCTGCTCCATTTTCCATCTGTATTTCCTTCTAGAAATCTTGAACTTGTGTTCTTCAGCTTCCTCTTTTGTAGAATCTCCTCTTTCAACAGCCATTTCCATCCAGAGTTACTAGTGTTTCATGTATCATCTAGAGTGCTTTGCCTAATGTTTTCAAAACCAGCTGCAAAGTATAAATCTCTGGCACCTCATATTTTTAAATTACTGTATCTGCTTCCCTACCAGTTGTACAAAGTGCTTGAAAAAAACGGCATTTTCTCTACAGTGGAAAAACATTTTAGTTTCTGCTGAAATCCTCCAGGTTTGTTGATGTTCTGCTCAGCCTTACTGTCTTTTACTATCCTGTGTGATACTTGGATGGTAGCCAGGCACATATAAATTGCTCCCACTCATGCTCTTTCTGGCGGTTTTATGTGCCTTTCACTACTTTCTAGCAGATATTTGAGGCAGCAATTTATTCCCATCACGTTTTTTTTCTGCTTACTTTCTTTTCCCTTTTGAAAACTATTACATCTTCTTGCCTAGAGGTTTCCTTAGTGTTTGAGGATCGCTGTGGATGGATACGAGACTACAAGGACAAAACTGTGGCTTTTTCTTTATGCTTGGGGCAAGGAGTTTGAGGCCATAAGGAGGCTCCCACTGCCCTGTTTCCGAGCCTCTTCTCATCCAGGAAGGACAAGCATCTTTCCATGAGGAATGCTTGCTTGCTTGCCATGCCAATGGGCAGAGTAGGCATGATTGTAAATTGGCCAGATCGTAGCTGTAAGTGCCCATCTTCCCCTCAGGACATCTGGCTCAGTACATGTGAGTCAGAGCAGAGAGAAGGTTTTTCATGCCAGATAAAAGGGATGGTACACATTACTTTTTGACTGCAAAATGCAAGAAACTGGAGACCTATGTTGTGCTGCTCCTAGAAACATTTGGTTCTTGATTTTCTTCTGAGAACTTCAAATGTACTCCAAGTTTAATCTAAGTTTTGGACAAATCCATAACCTAATCTGTCTTCGATATGCTGATTTTTCATTACATTTTCACCTACAGATTGGCATTAATAGAATGGCAAAAAAGGAAAAAAAAAAGAAAAAAAAAAATCACCATAATCAAAGGTAGAAGAAAATAAGCATTCTGAACCTTCCTCTGCAGGTCTGCTTTCACCCACCTTAAAAGAGTTTCTAATTTGCTGTGCATCACATAATTCCAGTGGCAATCCTGGTGAATGCCGTGTCATTGGAGCAGTGACAGAATAAAACTAAATCATGTTCCACTTCCACCCCTTGCCACAGAATGCAGCTGCTATGCACTTGCATCAGCAAAAATATCCGTGGGGCATTTTGTGGCCTGGTTGATAATTAGACCCAAATGTAACAAAGAGGGCGTCAGTCAGTCCTGGCTTAGCGTGGATTAGATCACTGTAAGTAGAGGGGATGTTTACTATAGCATATTGATATCATTAAGGCACGTTGGTAGCTTACAATGTTTTATAAAAACATGGACACAATAATAGCAACAAAAACCACAGAAGCTCAGTTCTGGGACTTAGTTCTCTGTCCCAGCACATCTCCTTGAAAGCTCACGCATCATGCATTCATTCAGGTATAAAATGACTATCAGAGCACATCCCACAGATGAGAATTAGAGGGCTCATCTGTCATCCAGCTCTGACCTATTGCATTAAATTCCTAACACAATTCATAGGATTGTGAATCTCTGGTGTCTTCCTAGAAGTTATTGTCATGCTAATTAAGAAAAGTATCATTTTAATGCAGCATGTTTATCACGTGGCTTGTTGCAATTTTCTCACATGCTGATGGTAAACAAATGTTCCTTTTGCCTTTGTAGGTTACGCAGATGGACCAGAAACTGAACCTCATTACTGAGATGCTGCATCGTCTGGTTTCAAGTCATCAGGGGGATCAAGGGAACAACAGGTCATCTCAGAAAGGCAACAGCATTAATTCAGATCTCTTCCTCCCAAACAACACCCTGCCAACCTACGAGCAACTGACCGTGCCGGGAAGAAATGAAGACGATATATCCTGATGTGGTAAAAGTCTGGGTTGGGTTCTTCCCACCTTTCTCCTTTAAATGGAACTTGGAAGGAAAATCAGTTCATCAGACATCCAAGAAAACACATGACTGCAATATCTATACCACTGGTCTCAAATGCACTCTTCTAAAACCACTCGTAATAGCCCAAGGATTGACAGGCTGTGTTCTACCAGGCAAAACCTACCAAAGCTCCACATTGATTCTATTGATGAACAAAAATTATAGCAACTCATTATTGCTCAGAAAGACCGAAACAATGTTAAAGGCAGGCAAAATTGCAAAGATTTAGAGCTCCTTTAATAATAATAACAGTAATAATAATATTGTAATAATACTTGAACTTAGATAGGAAATCTGCATTTTGTTTATGAACCTGCAGATAGCAATATATTTCTACTACTAAGGTTTTTAAAACAAAATAGGATAACTTATGTTGTTTTTATTGTATAAATATACCACTAACATTCTTGCGAATGACAAACCACATGCTGAATGATTTTCTTTTGCTGTTTTATTTTAACGTTGCTACATAAACATTATCAGATAATGACCAGATTTTTTTAATCTGTTTTTCTTCAGGGAGGAACTAATACTTAATCTGGAACAATACTATTTATAGTGGAAAGCGCTATAGATTTTTTAAGATACCAGTTTTTAACAGGGAGACAATAAAGTATTACATAGAAAAATGATTCTGCTTTCTAGAAAATTGTTGCCAAAGAATTTATATATAAACAGAAAACGCAGTGGTCTGAATGTACTTGTCCTGAAATAGCTTTTTAAAAAGAAGATCCACTACTTCTTAAATCTATTTTTTATTTTTTTTTTCAGCTTATGCTATCCAAGAGTAGTACAACAGCATAACGTGACTGGACTTGCAGGTCAAGTGCTTGAGCTGGCCACTTTCTGAGCATCCATAATTCTCATAGGAATCATGGCTCCAGTTCAGGAAAGCCTCCCTTGTCCAGACAGCATTTAATAGTTTCCTGAATAATTGAATGAGAAATTCTGCTCCCTACCAAAGTCATTAGATATTCAGAAGTGCCAGCTCCAATCAAAAGGACGCAGGGCCTAACCTGCAAGCCACCTCACCCCACATTATAGTTGCAATAAGAGCAGCAGTGTTTGGCTTGGTGTGATTTTTCACATGCACAACGTGAGCAGGAAAACGTGAGCAGGATTGGAGCTTTGCTTACTAAAATTGAAATTCAACCCTTGCTGATAGTTAACACCTCTACCATGCACACTTCCTTGAAAGTGGAACGTCCTTAAATTTGACAGTGTTGTAAAATGGAGGATTACAACATAGCTAATTAATGCTATGAAAGACTTCAGTGTTTGAAAGCAAGGAGACATATATATACATATATAAATATATATATATATATAAACTGATGCCCTAAAGCCTCATAATTTTGCTCAGCAGTTAGCATTAGCAGTCTTTAGGATGTATAAGCAGTCTGAAATACTGATGTGTAATGACCTGAGATCGCAGGGAACCATCTCATAGTATTGCTTACATGCTGAGCCTTGTTTTAAACGTGAAACATTTCACCTCTTTCACTTGGACTGCAGAGGAAAGTATGCTGTATTTATGTTATAATCATCTCATCTTGCTGCTGTACAGTAGATACATGTTAAGGGTGGAGAAATGTATGGACATAAACAGGAATTGTACCTGGGCATTACGTTTTATAGAAATCAAAATTATTGTGATGATTTTGAATATTTTTAAATAAGATTAACTGTGTAATTTCAGATTATTGATCAATCTCTAATTTCCTAATAAAATACAAGAGAAGATTACCACGCCTTCTGTTTATTCTAAGATCCAGAAGTTCAATATACACAGGAAAATTACTGGCTTTTCTTTTTTCTCTTAGGCTACTATCAACACAATACTATATAATGTCCTCATGCTGGTGTGTTGGTTTATCTCTGTCCATGTGAATACTGCCATCACCAGTGTCCTCAGAATAATCAGGTTTTGAAGTTCTGTCTGTGGCAGCTTGCTAGCAGGTCTGATTCCACATCTGGTCCAACAGAACCTTTCAAAAAGATCACCAGCTTGGTGACCTGTGACTTCAAATCCAATGATTCATCTTGTTCTTAAAAAGAGAAGATGATCCAGGCTGTCCTTGACATATCCAAATCTGCCCAAAGGTAGCCACCACAGCTGCTCATCAAAGGCATGTCTTCTCTGCCTGACAAGTGGATTGGATTTGTCTCATCTGTTGGTGCTTCATACCTGAAAGACTTCTGTCAGAAGTAAGTATCTCAATGTCTTTCTTCTCAGTGCATTGTGGAATAAGGATAGCAGGAAGATGAGCTGAACAGTTTGATGCCTTCAAGCTGGACACCCCTGCAGAAACCATCATAAAGGGAGTATGTTGTGTTGGGACCTTGTTTGATGGTTTCTGTTCATGCAAACTGTCCAAAGCACGTAAGTGAATGTGTAGTAATTGTCTGTCAATTGTGTGTTTGCTCCATGGCCCACACAATGGGACTTTAGTGACCACAGTTATATAAATGCAGTGTAATCTCTACGAATCTTTTATTATTCTGAGCCTGAGTGGTTTTTGAGCTGGAAGTGCCTGCTGCCAGACTGATCATTAGAGTATGTTCCTTTTTAGATTCCTTTTCACAAAGTATCTTAGAAAAGTAGAAGAGTTTGGACATCACTCATTTTCATTTTTGTATTTTAAAATAGGCTTGTTTCAAATAATGTCATTGGCCAGCATCGTGCTCAGATACTGGCTGAGGCAGAAACAATCTGATGTCAGCAGATAAAATGGCCGTTTCACTGCAGCATGTTAATGGCTCTTGTGGCCAGCATACACCTCAGTGCTGATTTATCATCAGTTCAGGGGAAGGTGGAAGGATGCCAGGGCTCCCCCCACCGAGTTGGAAAGGTCTGGGTAAGGAACAAATTGCTCCTTGAACTATAAAAAAAATAAAACGCAGGAAGATTTTCTTTTCTGTGAGTTTAAAGGAGAAAAGGTAAAAACAGTTTTCAGCTAATCCTCACATATCCTGCTGAGATGGGTATTACTGTTCTTATTTCACTGATGGGATGGTGGCTGGGAAGAGGAGGGGCAGGGGCAGGGAAGGAGAAAAAAGATTAAGGGTCTGATGCAACTTCCATCTATGTCCCACTCCTGTGAATGTGTACTTACGTACTTCATTTATGCATGGGAGTTGGGCTGTTGCCTTCAGTGGGACTACTCAATCCACGCGAGCCAATATAAGCCTTTGCAAGTTCAAAATCTATTAAAGAAGGCTTCCTATAGGCTTAGTGGAAGCTGGAGTCAGATGTAGCTATAGCATTGCTTTCCCTGTGGTCACAGAGACATTTGAATTGCCAGTTTTGTTCCCTTTTCTGTTTTCAGACCGTTGGCTTATACAACTCTCATGAGCCTCTCACAAGCCTTGATAATATTGGAGGTATTTCTTTCTACTTTAGTGATGAAAGTTTTCCTTACCTACCACATGTGAACTCACACAATGAAATGTTCTCGCACAAAAGCAAATTCTTTTTAGATGCCCTGAAATTTCCTTTTAAATGGCTTGTAGAAAAGTTTGTCTCTCGGGCTCCCTGACCAGCAGCAGCTAAGATGAAGGAACGTGGAGGAAAGCAAGTTCAAAATTAATAGAAGGAAAATAGCTGATACCCAATCGCTCAGCGATATTTAACTGAGTCCCAGTAAGGATTAGGTGCGAGAACAAGAAGTCGCTGAGATGACCTTCCGAGTTCCCTTCCAACTCAAAGGATTCCATGATCCATATATTTCTACAAATAGTGGGTTTTTCATGACTTGTGTGAGGGATGACTTTGATGTCTAAGTGCAAATTCCAGCTGAAACTTCCTTCTGTGCTGCAGTGTTTTGCAGGTTCCTTTCCTGCATCACCCACCTGGTGTCTGATGAGATGTGAATTCATGCTTTTCCATGGTAGGAACATTCAGACTGCATGGTGGTAGGGCCTCTCTCTCTACCACCTCAATGCAAATTTTCACTAAACAAGATCTAGAATCGTTTGAGTTGGAAAGGACATTTAAAGGCCATATGGTCCAACTCCCCTGCAATGAATAGGGACACCTACACTAGATCAAGTGCTCAGAACCCCATCTAGCCTGACCTTGAGTGTCTCCATGGACAGGGCTTCCAGCCATCTCTCTGAGCAAGCTGTTCTGGTGCCCTCTACCCTTCCTTCAAGTTCAGTTGAACTAGGCTGATGTGTTCAAAAGCCATACAGGGGAGCCAAAACAAATACTGACTGCATTCACGTTGTTTACACAAGAACCAGACTGAAAAATCCCCCCAGCCCTAAGCCAGAGATTTTGACCAGATAGTAGCCTCAGCTTCAGGGCACAAGGGCAACTGTGGTTCCTGAGGCTGACAAAGGACTTGCAGAAGACTTTTTCTCAGGAGCCACCAGCTGCTGCAGAGCTTCGTGCACCTTGCCTATGGAGCAGCAACAGAAAGATGCTGGAAAACCAAGCAATGCTTTCCCAAGGCAGCACAAGAATCCTCACGTCGCTCCTAATGACAGAGACCCAAAAGCCAATATGACAAAATGGTTGGCGCCACAACAAAGAAAATGCAGGTGCCGAATGGAAGCATTGTTCAACGTGTCCATGCACATTATTGTAATGCAGCATGTTGTCCAATGAAAAGATGCCTACACGGCTGGCAAGGGAGCACTGCCAGGGAAGGGCTGGCCCCAGAGAAGCTGCATTGTCCGAGCCAGGCAGAAAGTTCACATAACTCCCACATTGGCTGGCAACTGCTGCCTACGGGGAACAGCTTACTAGCCTGACGTGAAGCATTATGCTCCCTGCCCATGGATTTGCACCTAAGAAGAACCGATGCATAAAGCCAGTCTCAAAATCATCTCGGAGCTCCGTTTTCTTCAGAGCTAGCATTGCTCTGGCGAACTGCCCAGGGATTTAGACTCAGCTAATCCAGACTTGGCTCTCCATGGCAGACACCCGTGGAACAAAGGAAAGAAAGCTTCCACGACCCTGTCAAGTTTCTGGTAAATCACTCAGCCAGGTGCAGAAAGTGGGATAGGCGGTCGCCAGCGAGCTTTCTTGGATCAGAGAGAGGCAAATCCCTGGAGAGGGGAACAGAAGAAGCTTTACAGATTTTCTTGCCATAATTTACCAACTCTGTGTGCAGTGCTCCGAGCATGCAGTGCCTGTGTGTTTCACACAATCCTTCCAGAGAGCTGTGCTGAAGCACATTGCCCTGCCAGCCTGTGCTCTAATGGCTGCTGGTGCACATTGGTTGCTTGGTTTGTCCTCAAAGAGGGCAAAGCTGGGCCCCAGACTGTCTCACAGATAAGCACAGGCACTGGACAGATTTTGATCATTTTTCTAAATTGCAATGAAGGAAATATTATTATTGATGTTATTCTTTTGATAACTAACTAAGTATTTTAATAACTAACTTTTTATTTCAACTCGTTTAGGTAAGAGATTGCTTGGAGAGACATCATCTCCTTCCTGTGAATTTTTATTTATGAAGGGAGATACACTGTCAATCTTGTAGAAAAAAAAAAAAAGAATAAGAAAGCAAAGGGAAAAAGAATAAGAAAGAAAGGAATAAGAAAAAAATAAAAAGAGAGAAGAAAAAGAGTAAAGAAAGTCAAAGAGTAAGTTCTCTTTTAGTCCTGCTGTGTGTTATGTCCTTATATTGAGCATTAATACATAAAGATTAATACATTAGATATAGATGTTACAAGAACTACCTGTGCTGCAAGCACCAGAAGCATGTAGGAAACAGTACGATTACATGCAGCTTGTGAGATGCTATCGTCTACAACTGCTGTTTCACCACTGCCTAATAATTTGTTAGACCTGATGATTGCCCAATCAGGCTATTAACTGAGCTGCCTATACGGAGGAGCCTAAATATAAAACGTGGTTCAGATTTTACTCCTTACGTGATGAGGCACTGGCACGGGCTGTCCAGAGAAGCTGTGGATGCACCATTCCTGGAGGTGTTCAAAGCTAGGTTGGATGGGGCCCTGGGCAGCCTGATCTAGTCTTGCAGTTGGCAACCCAGCCCATGGCAGGCATTAGAACTAGACAATCTTTGAGGTCCCTTCCAACCCAATCCACTCAATCCACACAATCTTTGGCTCTTATTCTGCATGCAAATTTTTGCTTCGAGTCCATGCTTTTTACTTGATTTCCCTAGAGATTTCCCTCTCAATTAATCCAAACATTTCCTCTCCTTCAGTTCCATCTGGATACGGGTTTGCCAGGCAGAAGGAGGTGCTCTTGTAGGAATCATCAGGCAAAAGCTGATGCAAGTGCATGCAAGGCCTGATCCCACGCAACCGGAGGCACCAAGCTTTTCTGCTGACTCTGGTGACACTGGCAGCACGCTCACGTGCTGATTTGTCATGCCCACACCTCTGCCTCACCTCGCAGACGCCTGAGTCACCGCTCCTTGGTGCTGTGTGGGCCGTGATTAATATTTCCTTCCTGCACCCGTCATGCAGACTGCGATTTTCACTCTGGCTTTTTGTTTTCCTCCTTCCCCCCTTCCCTCTCCGTGCTGAGACGGAGAACAATTCCTGGAAAGGACGGCTTCTTTCCCCCACACTGCACAAACACCGCTCGCGCCGTCAGGGAGGAGAGAGGGGACGTTCGGCAACATATGGTCGGGAGGGTTTGGGGGTTTTCAGATGGTGAATGACCAACGAGGTTTCAAAGGGGTTTTATTTATAAATGATAGACTCCTGAGAGAGAAATAATGGCTGCTCTCCCAAGCATAAAAGAAGCAATTCACCTGACATAAAACCCGGGGATAAAATTAGCTAAATTAAAGCGAGAGATGGCAACTGTAGTAAGTTTTTTGTTGGTTTTTTTTTTTCTTTTCCTTCTGAATGGTGAATCATTTTAATTTTGTTTTCCCCTCCTTCCTTGGAAGGAAGAAAAAAAAAAAAAAGCAAAAGCAAAGTGGCTTGGATCTGAAAGAACAGATGGTGCCCTGCTCGGCCCTGCAACGAGCTCTGCAGCGCGCATTCCTTTACTCTGTCCTCTCAGATAACTGAGTTATACAGCACACGACCATCTGGTGTATGACACATCTTGTGTCCCCCAAACAATGCCCCGGCAAACCTCTTCAGGGGAGAGGTTAGTTTCTAGGGTAACAGCAGCATGTGCAGCTCCGCGCCTTATTGAGATTCAGGCCTCCTCACTTGTCCCCATTCTTCTCCTTCCTATTGTTGTCACTTGAGCTTTTGCTGCTTGGTTACTCAGAGACTGACAATATCCATGAGTATTTTGTCCCCAGCCCCAAAACCATTGTCTCCAAATTTTGTTTCATTATTTATGTTTTCAATATCCAATGGTTGGCTGAAGCATCTGCTGTAGAGTGATAAGGCAAGTGCCTATTTAGGAGGGCTGTGCTGCTGCCTGACAACAATGCTTTGAATTATTCAGGTTGTGGTTGGACAAGTCTTTGCAAAAGCCAGGATATCCATGAAGCACTGAGGTGACTTTATTTATTTGCCTGCTTCTTTTTTTTTTTTTTAGGTGCTTGCATTCTTTAAGCTGGACAAAAAAAGATAGGCAATTTCTGGAGGAAGTAGGTCTGCTTGTTACAAGTCTCCCGATTTTTCCTTGCTAGAAACAATTTGAAAAGAAAACGTTGGCTTTGCTTCCCTATTGGTTTTCTATGGGGTGGGTTCTTCCGAAGTGATGTTTTTTGAGCACTGATATTCTCTTATCAAAGTATAGCCAAATTCTGGGCTATAACCCAAGTACAGGGACTGTGCATCATACTCTGAAATTCCGTTGTAGAACCATAACTCGGATGGTTTCATCAGCAAGCAGAAGTAGTAGATGGATGTCTTCACCACCAACACTACGCATATGCCCACAGAATCCTTTACCCCGACACAGAACAATCCTACCAGTGGTGTTAGTGTCTTCAAATAGTTGTAATTGACATAGATTGCCACAACATTCATTCTGTAACACAACATAGACCCACAACATTCGTTCTATATATGCATGGCATAGAATCTTCATTCAGAGGAGTTGAAAATATGTTTAGAAACCTGCCACATCAAGCATGAAGTTTTACGAAGCATTAAAACATAAAATTAAGAAAATACTGGTGACCTTTAAGCACAAATGTGCTGAACTTCGAGCTCAACTGCTTCCATAAGTCAAGGTATAGATAACTTTTATAAAATACTGCATCCTGTCTCTCAGGTGAAGGTCAGGTATTATAAAACTACCAATAACAGTTACGAGAGATTCTGTATTCATGCATTAAATAACAGCAGCATACATACATTCAAGAAATGTGTAGCTTTGGCACTTAGGAACTTGGTTTAGTGGGCATGGTGGGGATGGTTGGACTTGATGGTCTTGGAGGTCTTTTCCAACCTTAATGATCCCATGATTCTATGACATCTATCTGAATATTGTGATACATTTGTTGTAGTGTCAAATCTGATTCATTATTTTTGCTCATTTATAACATTCTATGGATGATACTTCTGAACACTTGCACTATTTATGTATACGTATGTATGTATATATACGTATATATATATGCATACATATATATATGTATGCATATATATATACGTACATATATATATGTATATATTTGACCAAGAGGCAATTTTAAAAAAGATTTGCCTAAAATATTTCAGATCCACTATTAGGATAAGAAGAAATGAGGTGTATGGTTCTCTCAAATCAAAACCACTCTCAACACCTTGCTTGGTAGACCTTAGAGCTGGTGGCAGATCACTGAGCAGTAATGCCGAGCCAGAAGACTCGTTTAAAAATATTCTGTTTTTAAGAATGTTTTAAAATATGCTAATTAAGCTAAGGTTTGATTGGCAGCACGTTTTGCCCTCAGTCTGCTTGCTAAGTGTTCCCTTACAGGAGTGGTATATTCTTCCATATCAGGGGTTTCTCTTTCCAATCTAGCAAAGCAAAAGATTAAGATTGCTCTCCATGAGTATATATGGGAATAAGTGCTGTTTCACTTGAAGAACAATGCTACCACAGGACAGGTACATACATCATCCATGAGTACATTTGTGAAGGTTTCTAAACACCAGATAAGAGGAATTCTGCAATATCACCCTGGTGTGAATGTCACGTTGTCAACTGGTTCATTTGTGATTGCCGGGAACTGGTCTGTTTGACTCAAGACTTTCTGCTGCTCCTGCATTTCAGGGGCTTTAAGAGCAAAAGAGCTCATCAGACATCTGGCTGGAGCTCTGCTCAGGCCACAGACCTCACCCAGTTCCTTTCTCCTGAGGTAAGCAACTTTATTTAAGCATTATCTTGAACATTGTTCAGTCTTGGTGTAGTAACACAACAATCCATTCCTTGCCCTGAGGTTGTTACAGCCTTAATTCCTCCACTATTAAAATGGACAACTATTCTTTCAGGGCATGAACTTGTTCACTAGTATCTTTGATTCTTATTTGGTTTTTCATCAGCAAATTGTAAATCCTTCTGGTGTAGGAAATGATCTTGCTATAACCTAGACTGCAATAAGCCTGGTCTGTGAGATGAACATGAACGAATCAAGAGAAGTTTTAGCTTTCAGTCACTCCTTCTATTCTGTACCTCCTTCTGATTCTTTACCTCAATATCTTCAAAGCTTGTTTGAAAACAATTGATGTGCCTCTATGCCACACTGCAGCAGAATCATACATTGTACTGCAAGGAAGGCCCTGCTTTCTTCTTCATTTTAATGAGCACTGGCCAGGCTGGCATGATTCTTACCGCTTCCAGCCAAGTGAGAGCAAGTAGGAGAGGAGTTACAAGGCTAAGTGTGAGGGGTCTCAACAAAGCACAGTATTCTCCTATTTATAGGAAATATCTCAGTGGCGTGGACCAATCAGCCAGCCCTGTGGAGTGCTGAGAAGTACATGAGTTTGAGAGGGTTTTGGAGCAAGTCCTCTTCAATAAGTAGACAACTCCTTTGGCCATGAGGTTACAGAAGCTGAAGATCTCTGAGGGAAGAAGTAACATGTACCCTGGATAGCTTCTTCCCCATTTTATGGAGAGGAAGGTTATAGCACAGAGGATGAAGCTTAGCTCACTGACATGAAGAAGCAATGACTTTGCTAGATTTGTACCAAGATCTCCCTGCATGGCACAAGGTCCATGCTGGATTGCAGCACTATGCCTTTGTCCAGACCTCCAAGAGCCAAATTAAGCCAACCAGTCATTCACAGCATCTGTTCCTGCTGAAAGCACAGCAAATAGCTTCTCAGCAGAGATTTCTCTTTGGGAAGGATCACTGAGCAGCCAGAAAGACAAATTAAATTAGGAAGCACAAAGCAGAAGGCCATGAGTAGAAGGGAAAAGGATATACTGACATTCACGTGTGAATCAGATCATGCGCAAAGAAGTCAAGTGTGCTTGTTTTTTTCAGGAATGTCTGAATATTTTTATACTTTAAGAAGAAAAAAACGATGGCACAGTCTGTTTAGAGGCAATGGGAAGGAAAAAGCAAAACAAAACAAGTGGGGCCATGAGACATGGTGCGATTTGCATCTAAATACGTTTTAGCTAGAAGAACATGTTCAGAGGAAAGCACAGCATTGCCAGTTCACGAGACTAACTTTCTGATATCTTTGTGGGAACCAAATGAATTGCAAAACATCTGCAAGGTCCAAAGTGTCAATTATGCCTTTATGTAGATGGAGGAAATGTCACATGATTGAGGCAGTCATTGGACATGGTCAATTGTATGTTTTTATCCTCTGCTTAGCCTTAAAGCCTCACTCAACAGTCCCCTCAGACAAAGGCACTGTCAGAGAGGGAGATGGATCAGTTGGCCACTCACAGGAGTCGCTTATCAGCACAGAAAGTGTCCCTGGCCTCGGACAACTCTGACATTCTCTTTGCATACCCTGCTTCAGTGGTGCAGCTACAAGTCCGCCTTGAGAGCCTGGCAGCGAAACGTAGCTAGGCAAACAACCCAACACAAAGCTCAGATTTGGAAAAGGAACCATGCAAACAAGCAGATTGCAGACACTTCTCTTAAACCATACCTGTGTTTCTCCGTCAGGTTTCTGCTCCAGCTCGCAAGTGACAAGTTTTTTTAAACATGCCAACTGCCCAGAAGCATCTCACAGGAACATGTAAAATGAAGTCATGCATCATTCAGGGATCGCAGGAGCTGCCAAACAGAATGGTTTTGAAAGGCCCATATGCATAGCAGCCAATGCCAAATATCTTCACTTTAATGGCTCACGTGTTACAGTTTATATTGAGCACTTCAGCAAGTCCCAGCAATATTCTTTCTGGATTTGAAAACTTGCATTACTTCTCAAGGAAACTTTTAAACCCAGCAACATTTGTACTGAACAATTTGTGCGTGTTTTACTGCAGTCAACATTTGCAGCCAACAGCATCTCTACACTGTAAAACTGCACCAAAACACCACTGGCACTGCTTCCAGCTGGTGGGATGGTGCAGCTCCCTTCACATCAAGGGAGTTTGGATGGGGCTTGTGGTCATTAACATAGTTAATTATCATGCTATTCCATCACCATGGATGCTCATCTAAAATCTGACACCCACGTAGCCCTGGCTGAACGTATCTGGATCCATTGAGTGGGTGCCCACCAGATGAGATGCAACCTGGGTAAGGCAACGACCCACAAACAACAAAGCACACAAAAGAAAGTCCAGGAAGCCCTCTGCAGAGCTCACAACCAACTTGTCACAGTGTCAACAGGCCCTGAATGCAACATGCCCAAAAAAACCAGCAGCTGATGTGGATGCACAGCCAAGGTAGGGCACTCGCATCAACCAGGCCTTGTAGCAGTGGAGGGAGAAATGTGGGTTGCTGCCATAGGGCTGAGCACTCCGAGCAGGAGGCAAGTGAGCAGAATGCACAATGTGTCTGCAATTGCTTTGGGAAGCATGCAGCCAAAACTGTAATCTGTGCTACACACAAGAGATAAAATCTGTTCCAAATCATGGAAGCCCTCACGTTGTTTTAATGAGATTTCTGTGTATTTATATGTACACACAACTGCTGTCCTCCCCCTGCCCGCTGCGTGCCTGCTCCCACTGCTGGCCTGCGAAGCATGTCCTGCCTTGGAAATAGAGTTTACACACGCACATGACTCCCAAAATTAACACGTTGCTCTGGTTGTGGCGTCACAACAGAGTAACCTATCCACCTAAACACAATAACAGCACAAGGGATGGGATTGCTCTGTGTGAGCTGCCTGGCATCCAAAACGAAGGTATGTATTTAAAGGCATCGGATAAGCCTACCCGTGCAGGTATTCCAGGAAAGGATGAAGTGTGTCTCACGATTCCAGGAACGGAAGGCAGTTTGTAAATCACGTGCACAGTGAGATAAACCCCAGACAGCCCTGCAGTGCAGCGTAGATTTGGATGGCTTACGTCAGGCGCGTTTTGTAGCGGAGCACGGGGCAGCCTCGTTCCAGCAGAACAGCACTTGAAGAGATGATTCCTGGAAAGTGCTTTCCATCTGAATTTTTGGGCAGAGGTTTCCTTGTGCCAGCAAAGCCTGTGTAAGTCAGGGCTCTGTGAAAGAGAACATTTAATACAGCGCAAAGCCCAGCAGCCGAGGAGAGATCGGGAAATCAGCAGATCTGGTGAATGAATCAGGCTCAGCCCACAAAAATCTCACTGCAGGAAAGCAGCCATTGCCAGGAGGGGTCAGGCTGTTGTTCTCCATCCACTGCCACTGAAGCAAACAGCAGCACATAGTTGAGTAGAAAAGAAACCTAACTGGAGCATAAGCCATTGGTTATAATGTCTCGATTCTGTGCTTGTTTTGCATGTTTGTAAGACCTGTCTGTATACAGAACTTAAAAGCATCCAGTCCTGTGGTCCATGAAGACATGAACTGTCTGTAATGAGCTTATCTAGAAGGCTGGGTCCCACTTATGAAATCTGTTACCTTTTACCAAGTATATGAGGGAACAGCAGACATTGGGACTATTCAGATGGCAGTTTCCTGATCCTCTGCACTTACTTCAAGGGTAATGGTGGCAATTCCAGCCTTATCCCACCTGAAAGGTCAGGATGGAAAGCTGCTGAATGCATGGTTGTAAACAGCTGTTTTCTCTTCCATCTGCCTTGTGCATCCTCTGGAAGAGAACCACAGAATCATAGAATGGTTTGTGTTGGAAGGTTCCCTTAAAGGCCATCTGGTACAATTCCCTGCAATGAACAGGGACACCTACACTACATGGGTGCTCAGAGCCCCATCCTGTCTGATCTTGAACGTCTCCAGGGATGGGGCATCCACCACGTCTCTGGGCAGCCTGTTCCAAGGAAGCAGACATTTGCTGGTCACAGATAAAATAAAAAGGTGCTTTCTGTTGTCATCGCTGTCATGAGTATTCACCAAGATTGAGCACGTGCATGGTTCCCTACTCAACTGCTGCTAAAGTAATGAAAGTCTTGTACCTGAATTCGGGAGGAGTTCAGCCAGGCTTGGTGCTCTTCTGGTGGCAAATATTACAGGATTAATTCTAGAATCACAGAATCATTAAGGTTGGAAAATACCACTAAGATCACCAACTCTAACCCCAGCCCACTCCCACCATGCCCACCAACCACATCCCTCAGTGCCACATCTCCACAGTTCTTGAACATCTCCAAGTACAATGATTCCACCAGCTGCCTGGGCAGCCTGTGCCAGTGGATCACCACTCTTTCTGAGAAGAGATTTTTCTTAATAGCCAACATGAACCTTCCCTGGCATAGGCTAAAGCCATGTGATTGACTTCAGCTCGCAGACTGTGCCCTTGGAAGATTCAGAACTCTCACTGATGTTTCATGGCAGCAATCAAAGCAGGGCAGCAGTGAATAATGGTCCCCAGCTGTACTCCCTGACCCCCACCCTCACCACAGTGGGGGTGGGGTGGTATTGTTTTAAACTTTCTCTATTTCCCTATATGGAATTTACAAACCAGCTCATTGGCTTTTCTCAGAATTTCAGCTCCTTCTCCTTAGTCTAAACATTCCTCCCATCCCTTTCTTTTCCCCTCTTGCCAACTTGGTGTTCTGTATTTTTCATTATCTCCTTCTACTAAATCCTTATCTTAAAAATAGTGCATTTGATTGTGTGCAATAGTAAATTTTGCTCCTGGAATAACTCTGCCACCTCGCTTTGGCCAAATTACATGTACATCAACTCCTACTAAACCCATCTAACACGACGCTCGTGGTATTTAAAATCTGGCTAAAACCAAAATCTAAATGCTTTAATTTTACTACCACTTCCTGGCTTTTGTGGTGGGGAAAAAAAAAAAAAAAAAAAAAAAAAAAAAAAAAAAAAAA